TAAGCCCTTAATAAGACAATAAATTCAAATTTTAAAATATGTTATTTTATTTTTTATTAAAATATTTAAGTTTCAACAATTTTCTCACTATTTTAATAAAAAATAAACATTTCGTTTGGGCAAAGATGGATTATTATGCATAATAAAGGTAGCTAAACCTTGAACCTTTATTTAGTAAGTCAACAATTCTTAATCTGAAGTCAATAGTGAACTAAATCTTGAACTATGACTCCATTGGAAGATACAAGAATTGTATCACACATATAATGATATGAATGTTGAGTTTTTCACAGAAGTTTAGAGTTCAATAATAATAATTTAAACGTTGAAGGTTTTAAAATTTATGACTTAGAGTTTTAGGATTTAAATTTGGACTAGGATTTAATATTTAATATTTTTTTTTATCAATTTAAAACCATAATATTTTTAAGTGACGTTTTAATTTGCCTCTCTTTTTTTAGCTTTTTTTTTAATTTTATTTTCTTTAATTTTCTCAAAAATATTTACTTCTACGTTCCTTCTTATTTTTGGATATATATTTATTTATTAGTAATTTACATGTTTCAACACTCTAGAATTCATAATTAAAGCACACATTTCATATTTTATTCTTATTCTACTTTATTAGTTGTGTTATGTTGGTGGACATTATATTCAATTTTTGATAGAGTATTTTTGTTTTCTCTTATAATAATGTTTTATTTCTTATTTATGTCATATTCAATATTCTATATTTATTTGTGTATATTTTTAATTATTTTCAATAAGTTTTAAATTAGTTTCAATTTAGAGATACACTTCTTAATATTTAATATTTTGAGAGTACTATTCTAATTTAATATTTTAGTTCAAAAAAGATTTAAAATTATATATGAAACTTAACTTTTACACAAAAAAAATATTTTTGCTTTAGGGATTTAAAAATCTCTGGCAAAAACCCTTCTTAAGCCCCCCAAGCTTATCCAAAAATAGCATTTAAGCCCCTAAACTAAAAATGAAGCAGATAAGCCTTTAAACCTTGATGCATATAAGCTCTTCTAATCCATGGGTGTCCATGCTTTCAAGGTGATATTAAACATGAAATAACATTTGGCTCGTTTGTAGGAAGGGCTTATTTGCATTGTTAGTGGAGTTGAAGGATTTATCTGTTTTATTTTTAGTTTAAGGGCTTAAATACTATTTTGGGGTAAGTTTGGGAGTTTAAGAAGGATTTTTGCAAAAATGTCTCATAAGTGTGCGTTTGGTTTGAGGGAAGAGAAGTGATGGATTTGTTAACTAATTAGATTGTAATATTTGATGAAAATGTTATAATTTGATTGATTATAAAACAAATTTCTTTTGCCGATGACCTACATAACTTAGTGGTAATTTTTTTTCAGTGGAAGTAAGAGTTTTGAAGTTTGAATCACATGACATGTAAAAGGATGGAAGAGGGGTTGCCTTCCATTCTATAGGAAGAGAGTTACCTAAAAGAAAAAAAATATCTCATTTGTTTCCTTCAAACCAAATATATTATTTAAAGGTGGCAATTTCCCATTCCTCTCATGGAGACTCCATTTAATGCACCCTTAACAATACAATAATTTTTTTTTATAAATTATTGTAAATTGGGTTCAACCAACACTTTAACAAATTTCAATGTATTTACTTAATTTATCATTCATTTTAATGACAAAACCTAATATTCATTATGTAATTCAAGTCTAACTTAACTATTCAACACATTTTCCATTTAATATTGTAAAGAAAATATCATAAGATAAATTTTTATAAATTACTATAAATTAAGATAGGAGAAGATTTTTTTCTCCTTCAAAAAAACACTATGGGGATGGGGAGTGCTCTTCATCATGAGGTGCTTTATTACCATTACTAATATCTCCATACTAACAATTAAAATATTCATACTTATTAAGAATTTGGAACAAAATCATCCGTGTTGTAAATACTGAGAATGTTATTGTTTCTTTTATTAGTTGATTAAGAGTTAATACTAATGTTTTTTTTGATTTAAGGGAGAGAAAAAGAAGAAAAATTTCTCTATTTGGATAATAAAAAATTGGAGGGGGAATGAGGGGAAGTGAGGGGTTTTTCTTCCTTTATTATTATTGTTGTTGTTGTTGTTGTTGTTGTTGTTGTTATTACAGATTAAAAATATAATTATTATCAATTTTTGTAAAAGTAAAAGAAAGTGAAGAGTTCTCGGTTTAGGGCGTGGGGTGCAGCGACTCAAGGCGGCGATAGTTCCAAACGGCGACAAGGATGCAATTGGAGGATTGTAGATTATGGAAACATGACACAAGGATAGGTGGTGTTGTTTTTCATCTATAATTTTCCAAAGTATTGGGATGCAAAGGTTTTGTGGTATCGATTTCAGAAATGTGGACAAGTTGTTGGTGTGTTTGTGCCAGGTAAGAGAGACAGATGGGGGAAAAGGTTTGGTTTCGTTCAAATGATAGGGGTGCAGGATGTGAAACAATTGTAAGAAAGACTTAATAGGATATGGATTGGATCCTATAAGCTAAAGGCAAGAGTGGTGACTAATAGAGGACAGAGAGGGATTCGAAATCAGAGAAATGCTAGAAAGAAGGTTGCGATTGATAAGGAACAGAAAGGGATAGGTGATCAAACGTCTACTGGATTAAAGGTCGGCATTTGGGCGCAGCATTTTGTCCAACCAGGGATGTCATATGTCCAGGCTGTTATGGGAAAATCTCCGAGGACAGTTGGTGCTATGGTTTGGAACAAACAAGCAGACAAGAAGGCAAGAGCTGAAATTGTGGATAGGGTCTTTATCAATCAGGGGAAGCCTATAAACCTTGAGGTGGAAAGCTCTAGTGACAAAGAGGGTGTTAATAATACGAGAAACAATAGAGAGAAGAGTATAGAATTTTCTCCATTGAAAGAGCAAAATCAGTGGCTGGAGGGCAATATGATAGCACTAGTTAAGTCAATGTCAATGATCTCTACTACTCAAGAGAGAGTGGATGTGGATGGGGGTTTGATCAATCTATCACCATTGGGAAGGAAAAGCTTATTGTTAACTGAACGATTAAAGGGATACTTGAATGAGTATATGCAACAGCACAAAGATTTATTTGATCTCTAGTGTGAGGCTGTTTATCCATGGGCTGTGGCACCTTAGAATTATGGTAGAATGGTATGGTTGCGAATATCTGGAGTTCCATTAAAAGCATGAAGTGATCAGTGTTTTGAGAGGATAGCAGATTCGTTAGGGGAAGTGGTAATGGTTCATGAAGATACAAAATCAAAATCGATTTTGTGTGATAGAAGAGTATTGATTTTATGTTCTGAAATGCATAAAATTTCAAAAACCTTGAAGCTAAAAGTGGAGGAGATGATGTATGAGGTAGAGGTGACGGAGGAAGAGTGGCGCGTTGATCCGGACTGGTGGTTGGCAGATGATGATCGACAGGGAGAGACAGAAACAGAATTAGAATATTCCTTGTCGAAAAATGGAGACAATGAGGATCACGAATTGAATTCTTTTGAGATTCATGGCGATGATGAAGAAGAAATGGATGAGGAACGGTTACAGGTGGAGGGTAATTTGAATTCAAACAAAGTAGCAATAACGGATGGCATAGGGTCTATGAGAGATGAGGATAAAGGGCTGGATGGGCTTGGTAGTGAAAAAGGCCTAATGATGGTTTCGAATGATGGGCTAGAAGATGGGTTTGGGCCGAATGGGAGTATGACTCAAGTGCAAGAAACAGATGAAATGAAGGACGGGCCGAAGAATAGTTTTGGTGAAATAGGTGCAATGGAGGGGACATTTGATGGGAAATTAAACACTACTTTCAATTTGTGTATTAGGGATTCGAGAGAGAAGAAAAAAAAAGAGAGTTAAAAGATTGCTACCCACAAGATAAGGTCGCAAGTTGTGAAGTGGGAACTCAACGGATTACTGGTAGAACCTTGAAGTGAGCTCACAGAAACCAGGAAGCACAACAGAAAGTACA